GTGATCCTGTCATTTCATGGGGGAAAGGGACTTAAGTAGATGGTGGGGGCCAGAGTGATAGCACAGCAGCTAGGGCGTTTGCCTTGCACACAGCCGACCTGAATTCTAATCCCCGGCATCCCATATGGTCCCCCAAGCACCACCAGGAGTAATTCCTGAGTAGAGAGCCAGGAGTAACCCCTGAGCATCACCTGGTGTGACCCAAAAAGCAAAAAAAAAAAAAAGTCAATGGTCAGATGGTGGGGTAGGAGGTGATGACGGTGAGGAGAATGACAAGGGGGACCACTCCTGAGGCCCCTGTCCACCCCCCTGTCCACTCCCCTGCTCCATTTCTCCCTTTTCCTGTACCTGCAGGAGAACTGGACTCCGCTGAGAAACTTCCGGAGCCAAATCACAGAGAGTGGCCCCTGGCGCTCACTCACTTGCAGGCGGGAATAGTTTTCTCCTGTCTCATCCCCCCCAGGCTGTTGCGACCTTTCAGGTCAGGAGGGGTCTGGCTGGCCCTCTCCCGCCCACCATCATCCTCTGTTTCTGGCCTGAGGTTGGGGTTGGGATTCCAGGGTGCAGGATGCCCTGGCTAGGGCTGAGCACCCCCTTGCAGATATTTCTGCACCAATCCCACCACATATTTCCAAGCCCCTGTATCTAAGAGCCCCAAATGCAAGCGTAACCCCAGGTCTCGGGGAGTCCCACATGGGGAGGAAAATAGAGACCCCCTAATAAGACTCAATTCATTGCTGCCCCCAGTGGCAATCTGGGGATTCTCTTGCCAACTCCCCAGCCAGCCAACACCGCGGAAGGGGGTGCCAGGGAGCCGGGGTGGAAAAGATGCTCCCCACTCCTTCTCGCGCTGGGTCCCTTCTGGGTCCCTTCTGAGTCTCTTCTGAGCTCGGGAGCAGCGTCCCTGAGTAGGAGGTGGAGAGCAGTCTGTCCCGAAGCTGTCGCCTCAACCCACCTTCACTACCAGGCTGCCTTGAAGCTCACTTGGCACTCAGCCCAACAAAGGATGCGGGGAGGGCTTTGGGTGCCCAGCCCGTTTTCTCTCTTCTCCGTGTGGAATGCATCGGAAGATGTCACCAGCACTGCGAATGGACAAGGGCTTCAATGCCGGTCATCATGCCTGGGCTTGGGTCTCGCGGGCCATCAGAAGTGTGGAGTGGGAAAATGAGCTTGGGGAGACACAGCTTCAGCCTGAAGGGGCTGCAATTGGCAACCACGGTACCCACCAGGCAGAACCTGAGGTGGTTCTGGACTCCCCACCCCTGGCAATGCCCAATGCTCATGATGCCAGCATGAGCCGCAGCCCTGTGGGCTTCCTGGGGATCCTCATGCACAAGGCATGTGAGCCAGCACATACCGCTCCTGCTTTCTGGAATGTTCCTACTCCACCCGTCTCATTTGTCAAGCTTGCACACATGCTCGGAGGCTCACCTCTGGTGCCCATTCTCCGTGAGCCCCACACCCCTCTCACTTCTCCCCTGGAACCACGCCGTGAGATTAGTCGGTGGTGTGGCTGGGTCCAGCTGGGACTTGTCCAACCTTGTGCTCTGGAGTCCAGAGGGATAATGAGGATGTTTAGAATACGGAAATAAGTGGAAGAGGAAGTCCAAAGTCTGCCTGAATTCCTCAGTGATAAGGGCTAGAGGGAGCTGCCCTGGCCTTGTCTCCCAAAGGGCACGAGTTGGCCAGATGGCTGACGCAGTCCAGATCCGTGCTCCGGGTTTAGGTCCCCTCTGAGAATGGACGTTCGCTGGGTGACCTCCGGGTGTAACTTCCCCTACCCTTTTCCAGATAGGACTCAGTCCTTCACAAGTTGGTGATGACAGAAGGACCCGCTATAGTCCTTCCAGACCACCTCCCTCTTTATTTAAAGTAGCCCTAGCTCCCTGGGACCCCAGGGGCCCCAAACACTGCGCACTGTCCCTCTGTGTCCAATCTCTGCTCTGGGACTGTGCCGCTGGGGGTGGGTGGGGGTGGGTGGGGAGGTGCGCTGTCAGCTGGCAGAGCAGGCGGAGGGCCTTCCTGCCCTCAGAGGGTGGCAAGCAGAAGGAGCCAGGAACCCCGTGATGCCCTGGGTGATTACACAAGATCCCGCAATAAACAGCGTGAACACCATCCTGCCTTCAGAGCACCCGAGTCTGAGCTCTTTGGGGTACAGGGACGAATTCTCCCTCACCTGGTTCAAGCCAGAATGAAAGCTACAGGCTCCTGTGGCAGGAAACAGGGTTAGCTTCAGGCCCAGCTAAATTCCAGGGCTCAGGCAAACCCAGCTCAAGAGAACCTAGTTCCACTCCCTTTCTCTCCCCTGCGTGACTTATCATTGTGTTCCTCTTGGCAAGCAAGATGGTGGCAGCCGCTGAGCCCCTGCATCCTCTGAGGTTTCCAGTCCAGTGGGAAAGAACAAGTCCACTAGCCTCATTGCTCAATCCCAGGCCCCAAATGTAAGCCTCCTGGCTCTAAGGCCACTGCCTTGGGCCCAGGGCCAGGGCCTGTTGCCAGGGCCACTCTGACTCGGCCAAGCCAGGTCACCTGGCAGTGCCCCGGGAGAGGGGTCATCAGGAGCCCGGGAGCTCCGCGTGGGGAAGGAGCTGGTCTCCCTGGGACCATGAGGAGCGGGGACTGAGTAAGAGTTGGGGGTAGGGGTGGGGAGTAAGGTGCAGACAGGCAGCACATGCTTTTGCTATAGGACGGTGGGGGTTGGAAGGAACCGGGTCCAAACCAGACCAACAGATCCCTCGGCAGGGGGGTGGGGGGAAGTGGGGGAACCCCATGGCCACTTCCCAGGCTCCCTTCTAGAGGCTCTTTGGTGTCCCTGTGGCCACCCCTCTCCTCCTGCCAGGACAGAGGGAGTCAGCACAGTTCCTAAGACAAGGCTTTCATTTCAGCCTGATTGACCTTTCTCGAAACAGGGGAAGCCTGTGACCCCAAAGAGAGCACAATGTAGCATTTCCGTTCAAGCCTCATTCAAATAGTTCAGTCGTTCTCAGTATCTAGACATGTTACTTATATCATTATTGTTGTGTGTGTGTGTGTGTGTGTGTGTGTGTGTGTATGTTTTCATTTGGGGGCCATACACAGCGGTGTTCATGGCTTATTCCTGGTGGTGCTGTTGGGGAGGGCCGACAGGAGGTGCCAGAGATGGAACGCGGTTTGGCTGCATGCAAAGCAAGCACCTTACCTCTGGTGCAATCAATCTTCCTGGCTCACTTTTATTCATAGATTATTAATTTATATCTATAGGGGCTCCCCAGTAGGGCTGGGAGGGGGTCTAGGGTCACTCCCAGTGATGCTGCTATGAGCCCTGCACACACTCGGTCAAGGCTTAGTGGTACTTAGGAGCAGAGAGCCTTGCAGGGAACAGGGAATAAAACCTCAGGGCCTCACGCCTCCACGTACTCGATTCCTTCTTGCTAGCTCCCCAGCCAGTGTTGCTTTGAGTATCCCAACTCTCACCTGCAGTGTCTCTGCCCCCACAGAGGCACTGAACACCACAAACTGGGATAGAGCTCATAGGAACTAAGCTGATGGCACCGGGCAAGGGAGGCATCTGGCCCAGGAGCCTTCCTGGGGATGTGGGGTTCAGCTGCATGGGGGATCGTGGGAGAGTGAGATCCTCCCAAAGCTCAATAAGGGCAAGGGGACCATTGGGGTGGGAGGGACGCAGCAGGGCAGCCCCTGGAGTATTGAGTTGTAGCTTCTCCAACTTGGAACCCCAGCGCCTGAGACTCACACCCCCAGTGGGGTTCACTGACTTAGAATAAAGGTCCGGGTCATGTCCCTGGTGTCTGCAGGCCTAGAAGGGGGGCCCCTCAAAGGAAGGTGATTAGGGGGCAGCCCCTCACTGTCCTCTCCACAGCCCCGGAGTTAGCTGGGAAGGTGGGGGAGGCGCTGGAGGGAAGGGTCTCCCTGCAAGGCCTGAAGGACACTTAGCATCTCCAGCTGGGAACAGTCCTGCTGGATGGTCCCCATGGCCTCTTAGAGCTGTGACTTCTGCCTCCCTGGGAAGACCCCAGGAAACTGGTGTGGGTGTGGGGCTGTGGTGGTGAGCCACTTCCCTCTGGCCCAACAGAGGCCAGAACCATAGTAAAGCAGGTCAGGTACTTGCCTTGCAGGTTCTATTCCCATACCGTCCCCCTGAAGTCCTGCCAGGAGGAATCCCTGAGCACAAAGCCAGGAGTCATCCCTGAACACCACCTAGCTGTGACCCAAAAACAGAAGCAAAGAGATTGGGAGAAGCTGTAAGCAATCCAGGAGGTCCTCCTTGGAGACCCTTGCCTGGCTCCTCCCCACAGTGCTCCCAGGATCAGGCTTTTCCCAACTGTTCTTGCCCATCACACTCTGGCCCCTGCTGCAGGTCCTGCAACCCCAATCCTGGCCGGAGTGCAGGGAGAGGGAGAGCCTGGGAACGCCTGCTGAGATGGTACCCCTAAAAGGGCTTCTCAGCTTTATGCATCTCCACCTCTGGATTATTCCGAAGCTAAGAAGGCAGGTGGGGTTTGCACAAGGAGACCCAGTGTCCTCTCCCAGCTGGTGGCCCTGGGGCCTATGCACAGGATCCTAGAACGGGGAAATGTGGTCCGGATCCTGGACTCTTCCTGAACTGCCAGAGGCCAGGATCCAACTCCCAGTCGCAGTAGATTTGCACCAACCTGGGGCAGGCAAGGGGGTGAGAAGGGGTCAGGAAGGACATCAGAACACAGTCCCCCAACCCAGAAACAAAAGTCTCATTAGCTGCAACAATTACAGGGAAGTTGCCAAGAAGCCACAAAAAAGTCCTCGAGGCAGACCCAGTTTTAGAGACAGCAGACAAGTTCAGGGTCCACACACTAAGTCAGGGTCCAGTTTCAGTCTGCAGCGAGGATTAGGGTTCAGTCTGGGATCAGAACTGGGGTTCAACTGGGATCAAAATTGGAATTCGCTCTGGGGACTAGGATTGAGTTCATTCTGGGATTAGAATCTGAACTAGTCTGGATTAGGACTGGGTTAAATTTCAGATCAAGATGGCTTCTCGGCCTTTTGGCTAAGATCAAGTATAGTGTCTGTTCTTATCAGTTTAATATCTGATACATCCTCTATCCAAGGACAATGTATTAAATGGATTTTGGGGACTAGGAATGGAATAGAAACTTGCTCCATCCATTCCATGCATCAACCTGGTATTGCAGTACCTCTAGGAATGGTGCACCCCCTCGGGGGAATAACAATGGTTAAAGTAATAGACTTACTTAAGAGCTATGGAAAGAAATTGGATTCCTTTGTTTTAGACTTCTAATTAATACTTATACTAGAACACCTATAAAAGAGTTACCAATGTCTTTAAAACGCAATTAGAGGTGCTGGAGCAATAGCAGAACGTGTATGGCATTTGCCTTGCATGAGGCCAACCCAGGTTCGATTTCCAGCATCTCATATGGTCCCTGAGCACTGCCAGGAGTAATTCCTGAGTGCATGAGCCAGGAGTAACCCCTGTGCATCGCCGGGTGTGACCCAAAAAACAAAAAACAAAAACAAAAAAAAAATTCAGATCTAGGATAGGGTTCAGTCTGGGATTAGCACTGAGGTTCAGTCTAGGATCAGGATTGGAATTCACACTGGGGTCTAACATTGGGTTTCAGTCTGGGGCCTAGGATTGGGCTCAGTCTGGGATTAGGACTGGGGTCAGACCGGCATTAGGAATGGAATTTACACTGGGGTTAATTGTGGGATTCAGTCTGGGGCCTAGGTTTGGAGTTCAGGCTGGACTGGGATTGGGGTTCAATTGAAGATCTGAGTTGAGGTTCAGTCTGGAATTCAGATCCATTCTGGGTCTGGAACCCAGGAGGGCCCATGCTCCCCAAGTCAGGGCCAGGGCCAGTTTGGACCCACTGACGCCTCCCCGTGTCTGTCCACAGGGCGGCCTGGCCGCAGGGCTGCAGCGGGAGGAGTGCATCTACCTGCAGATGCTCGAGGTACAGCACCAGCAGTGCCTGGAGGAAGCCAAGGTGGAGAACGAGACGGAAGGTGAGCCCCCACGGGGAGGGCCGGAGGGCCTTCGCACCCCAGAGCCCCGTTTCTCTTCACAGGGTGATCCCATACCCAGATCCCATACCCAGGTCCCCTGGGGAGATGGGTCTGGGAGAGGAGGGTGCCCAGGGTGAAGACAGAAGAAGCCAGAGGCCAAGAGGCCTCCATGCTCCCATCACACTGCCCAGGGCCAGGGGAACCCCAGTGTGAGCAGAGGAGGAGAAACAAAGTCGGGGCTCTGAAAAGTGAGTGGAGTCAATGCTGCCTCGGGGAGGCCCTACCCCCTTCTCCGGGAAAAGTGGAGGTGAAGTGCGTGGCAGCCAGCCTCCCAGAAGGGGAGTCCCAGGGCCCCGTGGGGTGGGGTGCCTATGACAATGACGGGGTGCTGGGAGAGCTAAGATGGCGGGTCTGGCCCTGGGTACCTCCAGGATTCGGCCATTTGCTGCTGGTCAGCCATGCAGAGGGAGCAGAGGACATTGTGTGGCAGTAAGTGACCCCGAGGGCCACACGGAAGCTAAGGCCATGGGGGCAGGGGTGAGAGAGGAGAGAGAGAGACAGAGAAAGAGAGAAAGAGAGAGAGAGGGAGGGAGGGAGAGATGGAGAGAGAGAGTAAGAGAGAGGGAGAGAGAGAAAGAGAAAGAGAGAGATGGAGGGAGTGAGAGAGGGAGAGAGAAAAAGAGAGAGATGGAGGGAGAGAGAGGGAAAGAGAGAGAGAGAGAGAAGGAGGGAGGGGGTAACCTGGCTCCTCCACACAGGTCTGGGTTTGTCACCTCGCAGGTTGGACTAGGTCTGGCCCCTGCCCCACAGTGCGGCCTTCAGAGGGGACACCACACATGGCCACTTACTTCAACTCCCCGCTCCCGCCCACCCTCCACAGGCTGTGCTGAGGGCCAGGAACTCAAGGTCAGTCTCAGAGAGGCCAGGGAGTCCACTGCTCCCCACCATTCCTTGAAAATAGTGCCCAGGGCAGTTACAGGAGCCCAGCCCCAGCAGGGCCACTAGGTCAGGGGACAGCACCTCAACTGCGCCATAGCACCACACAGACTCAGGCGGCTTCCGGGAAAGGCACTGCTGGAGCTGACAGGAAGAGGGGAGCAGCCTGGGAGAAGCAGACAGGCTGGGAGGGGAGTGAGCACCCCACGGGGGGTGGGCGGGCAGCAGGAGGGAAGCTGCGCCCGCCTTGGGTACCTCCCTGGGTCTGAGCTAACCATTATGTAACTACTCACTTGGGAGCAAAGAGCATCATTAAGCTCCCCGGTACCCCAAAGAGGCCGACAGTCCAGGAACACCCCCACCCCCAAGTTCAGCCTTGGCCCTGCTGTCCAGCCCCCTCTGCCCCCCACACCACAGTGCAGCTTTTGCCGTGCAGTTGCCGTGCAACTTTTCCTTCCCTGGCTCAAGAGGAGGTGACCACCTGTTTCCTGGGGCACTGAGCCTGATGGCTAGGCCGAGGGGTGGCTGCCCCCACCCCCTGCCTCTGTGCCCCACCGACCTGAGCAGGAGGAACAGGACTGGCAGGCGGGCCTCAGGGGAGGGGGATAGGACCTCCCGAGAGCCCTGGGCCCCAGACTCTGGGCCCCACTATGCCACCTCCCAGCCCCACGGCAGGCCAGCCACCCTCGTGATCCCGAATGAGGTCACTGCTGGCGGAGGGTGAAGGCCAGGTGCCAACGTTCTGTCAGCAGGCCATCAGCCTCAGACCCGAGGGAGGCAGGTACATGGCTGCGGGCAGCGGGGCTCCCATTCTGGGGTTCTGGCAGGTTCTTGCACATCTAGCTGTGCACTCCTGGCCTGCATCTGTCTGAAGTCATGACTGTGCCTCTGTGTCTGGGGTCTCTAAATGTGGGGCATGAGTCTGTGCAGGCCTGGACATGCCTAAATGTGTCACCCAGTGCACTCTGTGTGTGTATGTGTATACTGTGTACACATGTGTGTCTGAGTGTCTCTGTGTTTCTCTCTGTGTGTATACATATGTGTGTATGTATGTTTATGTGTGTGTGTGACTGGGGGTCTCTGTGTGTGTCTGTGTGTATAAATATGTATGTGTGTATGTATGTATATGTATGCATGAGTGTATCTGGGAGTCTATGTGTATATATGTGTATATATATATATATGGATGTGTATATGTGTATCTAGGTGCCTCTGTGTGTGTCTCCCTGTGTGCATATATATGCATGTGTGTATATATGTGTATGTATGTGTGTTCTGGGATCTCGGTGTGTGTCTCCCTGTGTGTGTGTATATATGTATATATATATATGCATGTGTATATAGTGTATATGTGTGTGTGTCTGGGGGTCTCTGTGTGTGTCTGTGTATATATATATATGTCTGTGTGTATGTATGTGTATTATGTGTATTTGGGGGTCTCTATATATAAATATGTATATGTATATATGGGCATGTATATGTGTGTCTGGGTATCTCTGTGTGTGTTTGTATGTATATGTATGCATGCAAGTGTATATATGTGTATGTGTGTGTATCTGGGGTCTCTGTGTGTGTCTAGGTATGTATGTATGTATGAGTGTGTATATGTATATCAGTGCTGAATTTGCTGAACTCTCTGGTGTCTTCATGTCAGAATGAATATCCATGTGTGTTTGTTTGCGTGTGTGTCTGGGAGTCTCCCCCACATGTCTGTCTAGGCTCACATTTTCTAAAGTGACTCGACAAAGGTTAGAGAAATAGTATAAAAGTCAAGGCACTTGCCTGGCATGTATCTGCAGCTGTGACACTGGTTCAAATCCCAGCACCACATGTTTCCCAAACACCAGAGCACAGAGCCAGAAGTGGGCCCTAGGCATTACCAGTATGACATCAAAACTGAGAGAGAGAGAGAGAGAGAGAGAGAGAGAGACCAATGAAAGAGTACCGAAGGTAAGGCACTTGTCTTGCACGTGGCCAATCCAGCTTCATTCCCAGGTATCGCATATGGTCCCCCGAGCCTGCCAGGGGTGGCGCCTGAGCATTGCTGGGTGTAGCCCCCAAATCAATCAATCAATAAATACGTTTTTAAATGACACATCAGAGCACTCTCCCCACTAGCTTCCTTCCCACCACCCCAGGTTCCACATTTCTAGGAATGAGCACATGCAGCCAGCCAGCCCTGGGTCTGGTGACATGTGACTCGGGACTCATGGGCCTCCGGGGATGGCACACAGAGGATCTTAGGTTCTGAGTCCAGATCCAGCTAACAGGCCCTCTGAATGTCCCAAGTTTGCTGAGCTGCTGCCTGCCCTGCTCTTGGCTGCTCTATCCCTCTTTCTCATGCACGAAGCTTTTTCAGCCACAAGTCCTCTTCACCCTGCCCGCCAGCCCTGCCCCTCACCTATAGCCCAGCTCCAGCTCACTGTCCAGGCCTGCTTGATGCTGCTGAGATTCCTAGAAGCCAAGCATGGCCTCCCCCCGTTGTAGAACCTGGTCCTCCTCTTTGCTTTTTATTTTTTTCCCTCTGGCTAGAGGTGTCCCCCAAGCAATGTCCATGTGGTCCAAGGACCCACATTCAGCCTGGAGCATTTCTGGTTTTCTATGCTTTCTATGCCTGCTTTGGTGATCTGAATTCAGAGCTGATACCCCAGCTTCACGCCCCCTCCCCCTCTCCCCTACCACATGCGCACAGACACACACACAGACACACACAGACACACACACACACACACACACACACACACACACACACACCTGCAGGGACAGGTGGAGACTCAGAGGGCGCCAAACCTGACTAAGGTTGACCATAGCTGGCCTCCACAGCAGGGTGTGCCCAGCTCTGGCCGAGGGGGTGAGACCAGGCAGAACTCTCAGAGAAAGCACACGCAGTGTCTCAGACCTGGGGATGGGGTCCTGCTCAAGAGGGAATCTATGGACTGGCCGTTCCACATACCGGCAGGGTGCTCTGGGCTTGGTACCCGTGTGAAAAATGGGCCCGAGAAGCAGATCTCTAAGTGACAGAGGGCAGCACAGTGCCTGGAACACAAGCATCTGTTGGTGTGAACAGAGTCCTGAGCCTTGCACAGGATTTGCCTGGCATGAAGGGCATGCCCAGACCTCCAGAGAGACTTCCCCAGGAGTGGAGGGGTGCCGGAGAGAGACCCTCACATGCCTCAAGTCATTCAGAACAAAACACTGGGTGTAGGGACAGGATCCCACAAAAGGTTGGGGGTGCCAACGGAGGGAGACTATGATCTAAAGCCAGGCCTTGGGGTGCCACCTCGCTGCAACCACCCTGGAAGTGGCCCCCTGGGTCTCAGCACCACAGTAGCCAGCGGCCCCAGGATCTCACCTGGCGGGACCAGCCCTCTGCTCCCCTTCCCCAGGCCCTCTCCTGGGAACACGAAGACCTTCGGACTTGGGCTGGGCTGGGCTGGGTGCAGCTTGGCATTGACTTGGGTTCAAGGGTTGGGTTTCCTGCTTAGGTCTATGGGACCGGCAGCATGGCCAAGAGACCATGAATCCTCCCTCAGAGGCACCCTCTGAACCATCAGTCGTGATATTTCTATCTGCCTGTAGATAAAGACCCCACGTGGGAAACACAGCCTGCAGTTGGGGGTTCCCAAGCTACCACCCAATCGTGGTTCTCATTTTATCTGAGGATGTGGGGGGAGTCATGAAGGGACTCCCTAGGGCATCTGTGTGTCACTGCATCATAATTTCCAACCCTTTCTGATGCCTCCTCTGCTATTTTTATTTTTATTTATTTTTTTATAATTTTTATTAGTGAAACACCATGAAGTACAGTTGTGGACTTACAAGTTTTTGTGCTTGGGTTTCAGTTATACAATGATCGAGTACCCATCCCTCCACCAGTGCCCATTCTCCACCCCCACCAATCCCAGTATCCCTCCCACCCCCATCCCCCCATCCCACCCTGCCTCTGTGGCAGGGCAATCCCTTTTGTTCTCTCTCTCCTTTTGGGTACTGTGGTTTGCAAAAGAGGCATTGAGTGGCAATCATGTGCGGTCTATAGCCTACTTTCAGCATACATCTCCCATCCTGGGAGGATCCTTCCAACACCCTTTACTTGGTGCTCCCTTCTCTATCTGAGCTGCCTTTTCCCCTAGCATGTGCGGCTGGCCTCCAAGCCATGGAGCGAACCTCCTGGTACTTATCTCGGCTATTCTTGCGTGTTAGTCTCCTATTTTGTTACTTTATGTTCCCCAGATGAATGCAATCTTTCTATGTCTGTCCCTCTCTTTCTGACTCATTTCACTTATCATGATACTTTCCATGTAGTACCACTTGTATGTAAATTTCATGACTTCCATGTTTTCTAACAGCTACATAATAGTAGTCTATTATGTAGATGTACCAAAGTTTCTTTAACCAGTCGTCTGTTCTTGGGCACTTGGTTTTTTTTTTAAGAGTATTTTTTATTTTAAGTTATTATTCAAATAAGTAGTTTAAATCTAATACTTTTTTTAAAAAATTTTATTAGTAAAACACCATGAAGTACAGTTGTGGACTTACAAGTTTTTGTGCTTGGGTTTCAGTTATACAATGATCGAGTACCCATCCCTCCACCAGTGCCCATTCTCCACCACCACTAATCCCAGTATCCCTCCCATCCCCCATCCCCCCCATCCCACCCTGCCTCTGTGGCAGGACGCTCCCTTTTGTTCTCTCTCTCCTTTTGGGTACTGTGGTTTGTGAAAGAGGAATTGAGTGGCAATCATGTGCAGTCTATAGTCTACTTTCATCACGCATCTCCGATCCTGGGCGGATCTTCCCAATGCCCTTTATTTGGCGCTCCCTTGTCTATCTGAGCTGCCTTTACCCCTAGAGTGTGCAGCTGGCCTCCAAGCCATGGAGTAAACTTTCTGATATTTATCTCGGCTATTCTTGGGTGTTAGTCTCCTATTTTGTTACTTTATGTTCCTCAGATGAATGCAATCTTTCTATATCTGTCCCTCTCTTTCTGACTCATTTCGCTTAGCATGATAATTTCCATGTAGTACCACTTATATGTAAATTTCATGATTTCATCCTTTCTAACAGCTACATAGTACTCCATTGTGTACATGTACCAAAGTTCCTTTAACCAGTCATCTGTTCTCAGGCACTCTGTTTTTTTTTTCCAGATTTTGGCTATTGTGAATAGTGCAGCAATGAACATAAAAGTGCAGATGTCATTTTGACTGTACTTTTTTGCCACCTGTGCTATTTTTAAATGAAATTGTGGACATATTTGGGTTTTTTTTTCAAAGTGGGGAGGATCTCTGAAGCATTGTTCAAGATGTCCAGGGGCCCCTCCTGGCCATTCTCATCAACTGGACCAGCAGTTCAATGCAAGGGCTGAATGGTATAGTGCTACTCAGCCCTGCAATGCCAGACATTACCTGGGCACCCCCAGCAGTGCTTTGGGGCCTCCAGGACCGCACCTGGAGTGCTCGGGAGACCATGAAGTTCCAGGGATCAAACCAAGGTCAGGGCCATGCAAACCTTGAACCTTAGCCCCTACACCACCTCTCTGGCCCCATGTCCCTTTTATTTTTTTAAATGATATTCCAGCTGTAACATAAAATGGATAAAAGGAAAGTCTTTTTTTCCCCCGGAATCAAACACTAGTTGTACAGGTAGGTATGACCACAGGGAAGATAGAGTCAGCAGTTGTGCTTAAAAATCCTGAGCATCAGGGGCCAGAGAGATAGTACAGCAGGTAAAGCACCTGCCTTGCACTCAGCCAACCCGGGTTTCTAGCCCCAGCATCCCAGCATCCCCTAAGCCTACCAAGAGGACACCTGGGCACAGAACCAGGGGAAACTCCAGCCCAACAACTATGTATGTATGTATGTATGTATGTATATGTGTATATGTGTGTGTATTATATATTCTGGGCATCAGAGAAGTCTGAGTGTCGGTGACATGGGCAGGTGGAACCCCAGATTCAGCAATCTTTGGCAGCCTTCTCTAGAACATGGGAGATTTCCAGGATACTAACCAGTTCATCGGGGGCTGCTCCAATGCTCAGCCAGCCAGATGGTGGTTCAGTCCTAGCACATGAGGCTGTGGTGCTACTCAGGCTCTGAGGTGTCGGGGATCACCAGGGTTACCCCAGCAATGCCCAAAATGCTCCCAGGATCATACCCAGTAATGTTCAGGATGCCAGGGGGTGCTAGGGATCCTGCCAACTCTTCAGAAGGTCCAGAACACCAGGAAACACATCCTTTCCTTGCTGGGGAGCAGCATTCCTGCAAACTCTGTCTGATACAATTGTACCATGAGTCCCTCCTGTTAGGAAAACAGTTCCGTCTAGGCTCTGGTCATGGCCAAAGGTCCCCCTCATGGAGGCCCACAGGCTGCTCTGAAGTCCAGCAGGTCAGGGTGAGGACTGCCCCCCCTCCATCCCTGCAACAAACAAAACCTTCCCCTGCACTGTTCCCCCCAAGGAGCAGGGAGCAGGGCCAGAGCAATAGCACAGCGGGTAGGGCATTTGCCTTGCATGCAGCCGACCCGGGTTCGATCCCGGCATCCCATATGGTCCCCCCACAGCATCGCGAGGAGTAATTCCTCAGTGCAGAGCCAGGAGCATTGCTGGGTGTGACCCAAAAAGCCAAAAAAAAAAAAAAAAGAAGAAGAAGGAGCAGGGAGCTTCCGGTCTCCTTCCTGACTCCGCAGCCTTGGAGCAGACCCTGGGGAAGGAGGAGGGAGAGTGAGTGTCTGTGGCCCCCTGGCCTTTGTTAACCCAGGGCTCTCTAATTTTACTCCTAGGCTGTGGCAAGATGTGGGACAATCTCACCTGCTGGCCAGCCACCCCCCGGAACCAAGTGGTTGTCTTACCCTGCCCCCCCATCTTTAAAATCTTCTCCTCCATTGAAGGTAAGAGTCCTGGGCTGAAGACATGGGGATCCTGAGGGCCTAGCTGGAGTGGGGATGCTAGAGAGGGAAGCAGGAGTAAGAAAGCCGAAAGAAAGTGGTAAAAGGGGTGGGAGCAATCCAGGGGAGCTTCCTGAGGGAGTGCGCGTATGGGTGCTGGGTCTGGGAAGCACTCAGGGGGTTTGATTCCCTTTTCACATAAAGATAAGTACGTGGGAAGGGCTCGCCAAATATTTGCTCAGCAAATGATAACTGATTGACGAAAAGATAGTGGATGAAATTATGGCTGTCATGTGTGTTCCCGTTGTCCTGAGATGTTCTTGATTGAGCCTTTCACTGCCTGGAGTCACTGACCTCTTGGGCTGTCACCAAATCACCGCCCTCCTTGTCCAGTTCTGCTTGAAGGCACACATGTCCCCATCTAGGGCAGAAAAGGAGTGGGCCTGTCACTGCGGAGTCCTTCAATAGATGCCGAGCGTGTGTGTGTGTGTGTGTGTGTGTGTGTGTGTGTGTGTGTGTGTGTGTGTGCACGCACACAATGCAGATGTTTGGGAGTAAGAGGCACCGCTCAAGACAAAGGCAGAGAGGAGGCAGGGAGCGGAAGCCAGCTCACGGCCTGCCCCAGCGAGCTGACATGAGTGGGCGAGATTCAGCCAGGAAACATCGGAACTGGTGAGGCGTGCTGGAAGGGGCCCAGAGCGAGTGGAGTACACCTAAAGCAGACGGCTCCCGGAGGGTGGGAGGGTGATACTTCTGGAGCATGTTCACAAGGCCCCTGAGGTGGAGGCGGGCACCCCAAAGAGCATCCCCCTTGAGAGATGGAATGAGCATGCAATGACACTCAGTAGGGTGGGGGGGGGCTAGGGGTTGGGAGGGGCGAGCACACAGCAGGCACATGCAAGGCCCCGAGTTCCATCTCCCAGGAGTGTCCCAGGCCCTCGAGCACGGCTGGAGTGGCTCCTGTAAAGGAGAAAAATGGGGAAAAGAAAATCTTCCTTGGGGACCAGAGAAGCTGGCGCAGAGGCATCTCGTGGATCGAGCAGCCCAGGGTGGGTGGGGGCCAGAACTCACTGGGGTCCTGAAAGCTTGGCTTCTTTTCCCACCAAGAAGTCTTGGGAGCAGGGATGGAGTGATAGTGCAGCGGGTAGGGCGTCTGCCTTACACGCGGCTGACCTGGGTTCAATCCCCGGCATCCGTTATGGTCCCTAAGCCCAGCCAGGAGTAAGTACAGACCCAGGAGTAACCCCTGGGCAATGCTAGGTGTTACCCAAAAAGAAAAAAAAAAGAAGTCTTGGGGGGTTCTTTGAACAGGGGGGGTGGTGAAAGCTGTTCTCGATTTGCTGAAGAGGGGCCACATGAACCCACTGTACCCCTCGCCATCAAGATGACCCCTGGGCCGGGTCCCTGATGAGGGCTCTGGTATCTGGGAGGGGTCTGCAAAAAGGCAGGCCCCATTCTCAGGCAGGCTAGAGGGGATGAAGGCAGAGAGCACGGTGGAGGGGAGAAGTGGGGGTGCATGCTTAGGGGGAAGGGGAGGAAAGAGGCATACCCCCCACCCCTCAGGTCTAGGAGGAGAAAAGAGGATAAAAGAGCTGGTGTGGGCAGGGGAAGGGGAAAGCAGGCAGAGTCGGACGACAGGGGTACCAGGGAAGACTAGGTCTGGGCCCAGGAGGATGGAGGATGGAGACAAGGATTCAGAGGGGTGTTCTGGAGAGCCAGACACGAGGTGAGGGCCCGCCATGCAGACACAGTAGGTTACACACACAGCTCCTAATGGAAAGAATTATCCAAAACAACCCCCATCCCTGTTAAACCTAAACCTGTTATTATTTTTATTTCTTGCCAACGCTCTCCAACAAGAAGAATGTCACAGATTATCATACTACTAATCATTCTTAAAATATCTCCCTCCCACACATGCAGTAATCCCATCCATGGCACATGTGGTCCGCCAAGCTCCGCCAGGGGTCACTCCTGAGCACAAAGCCAGGAGTAAGCCCTGAGCAACACCAGGGGAGGCCCAAACATCAGACAGGATTCAGAGGGGGAGCAGCAGGACCCTCTGGGGTCTCTCACTCCAGGTGGCCTCCCCCCCCCTCTGGCCCACTTTCCCTATTCGTAAATTGAATCCAAGAAGGGGAGGTGCCAACAGTCTTTTGATTTAAGCCAGTTTTGCTCCCCAGGATAGACTATTTGGGATTTCAGCATGGTAAAGGGGGTTGGGGGGTGGTATATAGTCACAGGCTAGCCCAGTCCTTCTGGAGGGGTGGGGGAACCTAGGACCTGGTGGATGGGCAGGGAGGCCCTCCTCCCACAGCTCAGAGCTTCCTGGATCCCAGGGAGCGCCTGCTAATTGCACTCCTCCCTGACTCTCTGCTAATTGCCTTCCTCCGGCTGCCTCTTCCCTCTGTCCCTGCTGTGGAATTGTCAAGGCACTTGCATCGTTGTCTTTACTTGAGAACCTGGATTCCAACCCACCATCTGCCTCACCGGAGGCTGCCAGGCTCCTCAGGACCCGCTGGGGGCCTTGGTGCAGATGAGCAAGAGGCAGCCCTTCTCCCAGGGTGGAGGGTAGGGGAGAGGCAGACCGCTTCTCCCCAGCGCCCACCTCCCCACACACTGCCCGGGAGGTCAGTGCCCGGCTGGAGACAGCCTCCACAGCGCTGTTTACTCACTGCTCTGCTCAGTGGCCTCAGCTCTGAATAATGAGGGTGCGGAAATAGAGCCTGGGTAAAGGGCAAGAGCTGGAAAGGGAGGGGAGTGTGTTTTTCCTGGGCAACTAGAAGAGAAAGGTGGGAACTAACAGGGCAACCAGGACCGTGGAGGGCAGGGGCCCCCCATCAGCCAGTGCTGGGAGCCCAGGAAGATCTGGAATCAAGAGGCCGCGTGTCTGCACCCCAGCCCACCACCTCCTCACTCTGACCACGGGCATGCCGTCCTGTCTCCCTCCACTCCTCACGCTGCAGCGATGGTTGATAGGTCCTAATCTCAGCCCAAGCCCAGCAGAGTTTACACCCCGGTATCTACACTGGGCAGGGCCGCCGTGGTGCCGCTGTGAACATGGCTCAGCTCAGGCTGGTGCTGTGAGACACAGCTGTGGACGTGGCCCATGCAGCCCTGGGCAAGGCGAGGCGAGCCTGAGTGTCCACCTCCTAGACAATGAGTTCAGTTTGTCTTCTCTCCCTGCTTGCCCAGCCTAGAGAAGGGGTGTTCTCGCAGGATCTAGGGGGAGGAAGGGGCATGGCCTGGGGAGCTCCTTAGCTCAGGCCTGAGGTGGGCTTGAAGCTTGGGAGGGGCTGGTGGCACCTGCTGCAATAGAGAAATGTGAATGGACTGAGCTGGGGCAGTGAGGAGACCCTTTCTCCATCCTGGGGCCCCTGGCAGCTGCACGACTGAAACTGTACAGAAAAAGGGCGGCCAAGGCAACGAAGTGGGCCAGCCTGGTGCCACATTCTTCCCAGTGCAGGACAGAAGTTAGTCCCCCTTCGAAGAGATAGTATAGCAGGTAGGGCACTTGCTTTGGCCACGGCAGACCTGGGTTTGCTGGCTTTAATCCCTGGCAGCCCAGAGGGTCCCTGAACCCCACCAGGAGTGATTCCCCGAATGCAGAGCCAGAAGTAAGCCCTGAGTGCCGCTGGGTGTGGCTCAAGATCCAAAGCCAAAGTAAAATAAAAAATCAGCCCCACACTATTCCTCCTTCCCACCTCAACTGCCCCACCCCGAATCTTCACCAAAGGAGGGTGATAAGAACCTCTCTCAAAGGGTGGCAGGAGGATTTAGAGAGAACAAGTAGGGGAATCCCCCACTATTTTCCAAGCACATGGCCGTGATGGCACCTAGGAAACACCCACACACGGGGCCCCTGTCGGAGCTCAGGGCAGCTTGATCCCCCTGCGGCTCTGACCCTGAATACCTCAATTAGTTCCAGGTCACCTCAATGCACAGGGGAGCAGAGGTGAGCCGGGGAGACTCAGGGAACCTCCCTGCTCTAGCCTTGCTCTCTCTGTGTAATCTCAGTGCCTCTCTCTTGGAATCTCACTTCTCAAAAGAGACGTGGGACCCCCTTGCCCATTGTGTGGGTGAAGGGACTTAAATGACAGTGTTGCTGGTGGGCGCGATCCCATGAAAAGCCTTCACGTATCTGCCCGTGATGAAGCTACTAATGGTGATACTAGAAGTGTTGGGGGTCTGATGGTGAGAAGGTGGTACTGGTGATGGCAGTGCTGGCGATGATGACAATAATGCTTGTTACCATGATGGTGATGATGGTAGTGTTGGTGACAATAGAGTGGCTACAAGATTGCTTAATAGGAGATGGACGAATGTAACTCCATGTGTAGTGTCAAAAAACAAAGCCTTTGTGAAATCTTGAATTTAGGGGGAGGGAAGGCGGGAGAGTAGGGAGGCATGGACCTGTCTGTTCATTCCCTGATCCCCTTCCCTCATCTCTGAGCTGCAGGAGATGGGAGCCCAGGGGCTTTGGTGATCCCATCCTTGGGGAATGTTTATTTGATCATTGATTTTGCTGTATTGATTCCTTCCTTTCCCTTTTGCAATCATTTTGCTACATACATGCTGATTCTTTTCCTATTCCCTTTCTGTCCCTTGGGAAAATACAATGAATAAATAGAAACTTATTGTCTTTCCCTTAAAAAATTAATTGTGCCGGTTACAATGGTGGTGCTGGTGATGGTGATGGTGATGGTGATGAAAGAGATGGACCGGTGCTGGTGACAAAGCTGATAATGATGGTGGAGCTGGTGACAGTGGAGGTGCTGGTGATGGTGGTGACAGAGTTGACAGACCTGTTAACAGCAGTGAAGCTGATGATGATGGTGGTGCTGGTAGTGCTGGTGGGGATAGATTCGGTGGGACTTGTGACCATGGTGGTGGTGATCGGGCTGGTGATAGAGATGACACTGGTGGCAGTGCTGGTGATAATAATGGGGATGGGGGGGGGCTGGAGCAATAGTACAGCGGGGAGGGCGTTTGCCTTGCACGCAGCCAACCCGAGTTCGATTCCCAGCATCCCATATGGTCCCTCGAGCACTGCCAGGAGTAATTCCTGAGTGCAGAGCCAGGACTAACCCCTGTGCATCGCTGGATGTGACCCAAAAAGCAATAATAACAATAATAATAATAATAATGGGGATGGCGGCACGGTGATAGGGAAGACTGTGTTGGTGCCGGTGCTGGAAGGGGTTTCAGGACCCATCTCCTTTCTCACCTCTTCCTCATCTCCTTCCTTGTCTCTTTCCCTCCTTTTCTTCCCCCACCCCCACCCCCACCCCATCTTCCTCCCTGTCTTTCCCTTCTCCTCCCAGCCAGAAGTGCTCTTCTTTCCCCTCCTCGCTTCCTCTGTCATCCCTTCCTGGCTTTCCCATCTTGCTCCCTCTCTCCGCCCTGCAGGCTGGCTTTCTCCGGACAGTCCCAAGATTGGGAGGGCCCCAGGATTGGGAGGGCGGCTTTCCGTTTCCCCTCCAAGCCCTCTCCTTCCTCCTGGAAATAGTCCCCAGGATTCGGTAGCTGGGGAGACCCCTCACCTCACATTTCCCCCCCAGTGATCTGTCCTTTTGTTTTAGGCTCCTAGAGACAGTGAATGTCTGAGGTATCTGCAGCTCAACTTAGATATGTTTCCTGGTTCCCCTACTAGGACCCCCTGACCCCTCCACCCCCGCCCCCCGGTTTCTGCACTCATGAGGATTTCAGATCTGCTCCCTTGTCAGTGATCTCCAATCCCAACCTATCTATCTACCTATCATTCCTGTGTTATGGTGAGGGCTGAGGGGGATGCCAGGCAATGCTTGGGTTATGTGGTGGCTCTACCCAGCAGTATCTGACCTGTCTGGGAGGGCTTTAAGGCTTCATGCTCCGGGACCTGGCAGTGGTGCCCGAGGACTGAACGTGGGGCCTCACGCTGTCACTGTCCTCCCGTTGTTCATCGATTTTCTTGAGCGGGCCCAGTAATATCTCCATTGTGAGACTTTGTTGTTACTGTGTTTGGCATGGGTAGCTTGCCAGGCTTTGCCGTGCAGGTGAGATACTCTCGGTAGCTTGCCGGGCTCTCCGAGAGGGGCGGAGGAATCGAACTCGAGTTGGCCATGTTGGCTGCATGCAAGGCAAACGCTCTACCCACTGTGCTATCGTTCCAGCCCAGACCACTTTGAACTCTCTGGCTCTGCAGCTGCCTGTCTTTAGTCCTCTCAGCAGCGCATCTGAGCCCCTCTAGCTGTACCAGCAGATGCGGGCGAGGCCCACAGGGAGGACAGAGCAGGCCTGGGCCCCCATCCTTGCTAGAGGGCGCAGCTGCACCTGTCTGCACACCAGCTCCTGGGCCTGGGACCAGCTGATTCCTGCACGGGTCAGATAGTTCTGTGCTCAGCTGTGGGTAGCAAGGATCTGGGTTTAGATTGCACGGGGGATGGGGGATGGGGGGCTCAGGCTCAGACCAGGGCCCAGGAGTGGCTGCTCTGTCGTTCGCATCAAGGGGTCCCCTGGAGGGGGGGAAGCTCTGCTTGTCCCAGGTTCCCCCATGATGCCCGAGTGCTGGGATCAAATCCTGGTGATGGGAGTAGAACTGAGCCTTTAGGGCAGCCGAGCCTCGCGTCTACTCCCAGACTCAACTTTTCTTCTCTCTGTCCCGCCCCCACCACCCACCACCCAGGCCGCAACGTGAGCCGCACCTGTACCGACAAGGGCTGGGCGGACCTGGAGCCCGGTCCCTACCCTGAGGCCTGTGGCTTGGAGGACAGGGATCTGGATGAGGTGGGCCTGAGTTTACCTTCCTCCTTCCCACAGTACCATGGTTGCTCCCCCTTTCCCCCTCCACAGTCTGGGGGGGCACCTGGCTGGGGTCTGCCCTCCCCAGCCCGCCTTCCTCTCTAGGCCTATACTTCTGGGGGGTTATCCAGGTACAGAAGGGGCGCTCCTGAGGACTCCCAGCTAGGGTCCCTGTGCCCGGGACAGGTGCCTGCCCCTCCAGCAAGCTGCACTGGGCTGGCACTGTTGGATATGGGTCCAAGAGCCAAGGAGGTGGGTGTGGGAGCAGCACCCATGAGGCACCCTCGATTCTGGGCATGTAGACGCATCTGGGAGGTATCCTATTAGGCGTTCTACACCGGAGGCCCTCTTGGACCCCTCCCCAAAGGCCATCACTTCCCTCAGAGAGGTTCTCAGCATCCTCCAGCCCCTGGACAGGGTGCCCCGCGCCCCTCCCTCCCTATTGTCCCCTGCTCTGCACAGGGAATGTGACTCTGCTTGCACGAGGACTTGGGAGCCCCAGCAGGAGACCCTCAGCTTCTAGCTTTGCCCTGTCCCTCCCCCAGAGCCAGGCCACCTTCATCCTGCTGTCCCAGCTCCCGGGCTGTATTCCCAGAGGTTCTGCCTGCCCTGCACTGTGCCCCAGGACCCACTGCAGAGGCTGAGGGGCATCTGGACCCCCAAGGGTGCTGAGCCCTCAGGGTTGACTCTGAGGGGGCACCAGGCACACAGTGGGGAATGCAGAGGTGCCCCAAGGGATGGGTGTGAGGACATCTCTCCCGTGATGGTGGGGGTCTGAGTCCAACCCCCGCCCCCTCTGTGGTGACCCCTCCAAGCGGCCACTCCTGGAGCCTGGGTACCAGCCCCTCTTCTGCCAAGGCAGCGGTGGGGAGGCTGGGGGTGCAGGGGACCCCACTCCTGCCAGAGCCTCCTAGACAAGTCCCCACAAGCCTGCACCCCGTCTAAGCAGCACCAGACCGTGTTCTACAGCTCGGTGAAGACCGGCTACACCGTTGGTTACAGCCTGTCCCTGGCCGCCCTCGTGATCGCCATGACCATCTTGACCCTGTTCAGGTGAGGTCCAGCCCTGTCCAGGAGACCCCTGCTTCCCTCCACTGCCAATCCCACCAGCAGAGAGTCCCCTTCCGGGTGGGTCACTGGCCCTGGGCAGCCAGATTGTTCATGGCAGGGGGGTGCGCAGGGGAGGGGGAGGGTTCCTTCAGGAGGCCACACCCAGAGCTCAGCTGTCCTTGCACAGAAGGGTCACTAGGGCACAGGCAGAACCCCTGTAAGCCCCCCACCCAGCCCCGCCCGCCTCCCGCAGGAAGCTGCACTGCACGCGGAACTACATCCACATGCACCTCTTCATCTCCTTCATCCTGAGGGCGGTGGCCGTCTTCATCAAAGACTTGGCCCTCTTTGACAGCGACGAGACGGACCACTGCGAGGGCTCGGTGAGGATGCCCGGCCCTCCTCTTCCCGCCGCGGGCCCCCAGCGGCCTCTGCTCCCCCTTCTTCTCCCACAGCCCCTGGCTCTCTCCTGCTCCCGCCCCGCTCTCTTTTCCAAGAGGGACAAACCACTCTCTTGTGCTCCCGGCAGCTCCTCCCACCCCCACCCCCTCCTCTTCCACCCAGGAGCGGGTGCCCCGCCACTTGGGCCCTCATAGATCTGCTCCTGCTCAGTCACAGTCCTGCTCCTTGGTGGCATCGAGATTACTTCCAGGTCAGAGCCAGAACCCAGAACCCTGGCCCGTGTCTGCTGCTGACTGCCCTTGTGAGCCGAGGGAGCCCCTTGCCTCCATTTCCCCATCTGCACAAGGACTTCCCACTTGGGGCCGGCTCTGCTGTCTGCCATCTGCCTACCCAGGCTCTATTCCTCAAGGCTGCCCTGCCTGCACATGTCCCCTGGCCCCTGCCATCTGGAGTCGGTTGAGACATACCCAGCTTCCCTCCGCGGCTCCTCCAGCAGACTCTGAGCCTTCCCAGGGAGGGAGAGGGAGCAAGTGTGGAAGGAATTTGTTGCCCATCACCAAGGACTGGTCATATGGCTGCGAGCACGGGGGGCCCCCCTCACTGAGCACCCGCAAGCTAGGCTGAGAGCTGAGAACTAGTGCTGGTTCCCAACCATTCCTTGTGGTCAGCGGCCCATGGTTTTCTCCATGACCCCATTATTTCAGGGGTCAGCAGGACCTTCTCCCCAAAGCATGACATGCCATGATGGAATGTCGAGCATCTTGACAGGGGGAGGGAACCCCCACCCCTCGTACTCCAGGAACCCCCCTGGCCCTTCTAAGTCCCTCTGAGGACACATAGACACATAGACACAAACACACACAGATATACACACAGACACAAACTGAGACACACAAAGACACAGACACACACAGATATACACTGATACACACACAAAAACATATACACAGACACACATACAAACACACAGACACACACATGCAGACACATACAGACACACACATGTCTGAGAGACACATACACTCACGCACAGACACACACAAAGACACACACAGACACACATACATACACACAAAGACACACACACACACACACACACACCTAGTCAGACAGTCCTGTGAGCGACAGCTGGAGAGCAGCCTGCCGCCTCCAGCTCATTTGTTAAGGATAATTGTGGAGACAGGCTTCCCCATTCATTAGCGGCTCTGTGAAGCCTGTCTCTGGCCCAGAGAAGCACTGATAATTGTCCCGTTAAAGAGCCAAGTTATTCTTGCTATAAAGCAAAGGGGGAATGGGGGGAGGGGGTGGTAGAAGCCTGTCACTGAAGGAATTGACATGAAACCCAAGGAAGGACTTCCCTGCCAAGGGGAGAAGAGGGTCGGCTGTTCTTTAAGTCTTTGAGGATATCTGAAGCCCAGTGCGCATGGGGAGGAAGGGTGGAATCCAGGTTCTGGGTACAGTGGGAACTGGGGGACTTCCTAGAGGAGGGAGGTGGCTTCACACTGGCTCAGAAGTAGCTGGGCTCCACCTAACACTGGCTTTCCAATCATGCAGGTGGGTAACCATCCCTGAGCTCCTGATGCCCTACCTAGACCTCTCCATGGCTCTGTGACTTTCACCCATCTGGGCAACCACTTTTCCTCTGACCCCTCAGGAGGAATCACCATCCTATTACCCTTAGGGGTTGTGGCCATTCTCTGAACTCCCCCCCCCCAGGAGGCATGGCCATCCTCTGATCCCCCAAGAGGTGTGCCATCCTCTGACCCCCCAGAAGGCTGTGGCCATCCTGTGACCCCCCCAAGGGATATGGCCATCCTCTGACCCCTCACCCAGAGTGTGGACATGAAAGGCTGCAGATGTCCTCTATTGTCTTTTTCCTCATGTCTACTTCCCCCTTCTCTGATGTCTCCTCAGTCCCTCTCTCTCCTCAACACTTTCCTCTGGACCCCACTCCACAGCCCACGACCTACATCCTGACATGTTCAAGCAAGAGTACTCCCCCATACCTCTTCCCGTTCCTCTTAGTCGTGATCGGAATAGATGAATGAGGAGGTGTGGGGGAGATAGACCGGTAGTGGTGTTAAGAGTGAGTTTGTGGATGACCGGGTCGGTGGGAGGACAGACAAATCAGGGTCCCGAGGTTGGTGGGTGGAAGAGCAGATTGGTGAGTAGGCAGCCAAGCAGGGTTTCAATGCATGTCTGCTGGCTATGTAGGTAGATGCACAAGGAGAATAATGGGTGGATGGGAAGATAAGCAGATGACAGATGAGTGTTCCTCGCGGTTGTCTAGTGAGTGGGGAAATCAACTGATAAATGGGTAGGTTGGTACGATGGTTGCATGGTGGGGTAGGTGGTACACATACAGACAGGACGCCAAGCAGTTAATAAACTGATGGGCGGATCATTCAAATCACACACACTTATCACAAAACAGCAGAGAATATAAAGTCAGGAGCCACATGAAGACCACTGAGCACTTTTTTAAGGGGTGAGGAAAAAAACAATGGAAATTCAGTCAGCTAAACCACAGCAGCCCTGTCTGTCACCCCCGGTATCGATGTGAGCAGGCAGTGACTCCTCTTCTCTGCTCCTCCCCCGCAGGTGGGCTGTAGGGCAGCCGTGGTCCTGTTCCAGTACTGTGTCATGGCCAACTACTTCTGGCTGCTGGTGGAGGGCCTCTACCTGTACACCCTGCTCGCCGTTTCCTTCTTCTCCGAGCGGAAGTACTTCTGGGGGTACATACTCATCGGCTGGGGTATGGAGCCTGGGAGGGCTGCCAGGCGGGGGACCGAGGGGACAAGCCCTGAGGAGCTCACTAGAGGGAGGGTCCTCACGCAACCTGCTGCTGTGACTCTGCAGGTCCTGTCTGGCTAAGAGTTGATCAAAGTCCCCCAGGTGTCTCAACCCAGGGCGAGTGCGCACGGTCTATGGCTCTTCCTACCTAGGGCTGACCTGTGACAGGCACACGCTCTTAAGTGCTGCCTTTCATTCCCACCACCACCAGCCCCCAGCCCCTCAAAGACAGGGCAAGAAAGTGCCCCTGTCAAGGTTAGCCCCAGCCTCTCCTGTCCAGTGAACATAGTCCCATTCGTTCACGAGGCCTAGGCTTCTCTGAGTGGACAAACTATGCAACTGTACATGGCGGCCCTGGAAACCCACCTTTTTCTCTCTTCCCTTCTCTCTTTCTGCTTCTTTCTCCTATATCTCCCCCTCCTGCCCCTCTGTCCCTGCCTCCTATGCTCTCTTTTCTCCTCCTCCTTTGGTCGTCACAGGGGTACCCAGCACATTCACCATGATATGGACCATCGTCAGGATCCATTTTGAGAATTATGGGTAAGCTGTTACTCCCTGCCACCCTCACCGGCCTCCATGACGGGGGGTTAAGCCCTCTGGGTGGAATGAGGTGAACTGAGAGAACAGGGTCGGGGCCCATGGGCTCCAAAGATTTCTAAGCCTCTCTCTCCCGCACCCCATTGCTCTGCCCAGATGCTGGGACACCATCAACTCTCCACTGTGGTGGATCATAAAGGCCCCTGTCCTCGCCTCCATCTTGGTAAGGCCTCCTCCTGCCACTGAAAAAGGGGGAAACTGAGGCCCAGGTTGGGGAGCTGCCTTCCCTCAGGCCACACTGGACACCAGGATTTCTGTCAGAACTAAACCCTACGCTCCCCAAGCCCTGAAGCACACCCTTCCTTGCCCCCATCTCCCTCAGAAAACACAGAGGGGGTGTGAAGTCGAGTTTCCCACTCACACACCCCCACAGGGGAAAGCCAGGGGAGAGCGGGAAGGACACAAGGTCCTTGGGCATCAGCCCAGGGCGCCAGCACCCCCTCCTCGCCACCCTGACCACTGACCTCACCACCTACCCACCAGGTGAACTTCATCCTCTTCATTTGCATCATCCGAATCCTAGTTCAGAAACTTCGGCCCCCAGATGTTATGAAGAGCAACAACAGCCCATACTCGTGAGTAGGGGCTCCATGACCTCCCCCACGCCTCCCCCCTCATCGCTCCTTATATTCAAGTCATCCCCCTGGCACATCCCCTTGAACCTCCAGAGTGATCCAAAAGTAACCTTGTCCTTCGCCCTTCACCCCGTGCCCTGGACCAGCATGGAAGTGTCACCTGCCCCCCCCCCCACCCTTACGCCCACACTCTTACCAGGCGTGCCTGCTCCCTCTCCTGCTGGGCCGCACCCAGAAGTTGATCAGACCCAGTCAGGAGTCAGATGCCAAGCCAGAGAGCTGGAAGAGCGAGCAGCCAGCCTTGTCTTGTCTTGTTTACATATGCCTAACACGGACCAGGGGCACACATGCATGGTAGAGTCATAGCCCTAGTGAAGCCCCCAGTTGGCCAAGGAGACAGCCACACGGCAGCCCGGCTGGAATGCCACAGCCAGAGACACAGATGCAGCGACTCCTCCCCATCCCGTAGTGATAACATCTAACATGCTGGGGAATCCATGCACCATCTCATTTCATCCACGCCATCTCCCTTTAACTGACCCCAGCTGACAGACTCCACCTGCATTTCCCCCTCAAGGCTCCAGCAGCCCGTGAGAAGCCCATCACCACAGAAACAGCCAGACACACTGTCTGAGGGGCCAGAGTGATAGTGCAGTGGGTAGGCCACTTGCTCTGAATGCGGCCAGCCTGGGTTTGATTTCCAGCATCACACGTGGCAAAGCCCAAGTCAGGGGGCTGTTCTCTTTGAGCACCTCCCCAGCCCCACCAGAAGTGAGTGCAGAGCCAGGAGTAATCCCTGAGCACAGTCGGATGTGTGCCGGCCCCCCCGGCAAAAAAAAAAAAATGGTATCCACAGGACAGAGAAAGGTGGGCGATTTGTGCCCTGTGCTTGCAGAGACAGGTGGACTTTCATGAGCACCACCAAGAGACCAAAGACAGTGGCCGTGAGGGAGCAGGTATGCACGCCCACCCATGGGCACACATGGGCTATCGGTGCTGCAGAGAAACCTCAGCTGTTCCCCTGGAGGGCTGTGCAGTGCTAAGATTCTAGAATCTTCTCCCTGGCTTAGCTCCCCTTTGGGTCGTCTGTGCCGCGGGTCTAAGATTCCTGGCGAGAGAGTCACGAGCGCTGGATTTAGGATTCTATTCTGGATCCTGTGAGGCTCCCTGATGCCACTAAGACTCACGTTCCGGGCGGGCGGCAGCTCTGTCTCCCGCTGTGTGTGTGTGTGTGGGCAGCAGCGTTTCCCTCCCTGTCACAGGCAGGGAGCCCCGTGGGGGGCTGCTCACTCGGAGGGCCTGGGCACCCTCTCCTTGGCCCTTACGACCTTGTCTGCAACCGCTCCCGAGGACCGCTCATAAGAGCCAGACTCAGAGGCCGAGGGAATTGGTCTTCGGCACGGTCTGTGTGGGAAACTGAGCAGCTGCCGGCAGGCAGAGGGGCTGGGAAACGGAGCTCCCCCAGGAAGGACTGTCAGTTCTCACTCTCCACCTCCCCACAAGCCTCCAACTTAAAGGAAGCCGCCATCTGTCCACGGGATGGGTTGGCAGCCCAGGAGGGGCGGGCTCCACTTGGGAAGGGGGCAGGGCGGGGAACCAGGTCCTGGAAGCAGTGGGCAGGGTGAGGCTGGCTTCTCTGCTCCCGGTTGGCTGGAGGACCTCAGGGTTCCGGGGTTGGACTCCCCTGGATGGAATGCCCCAGCCAAAGACACAGATACAGAGACTCCTCCCCACCCCACTGCCCCTCAGATCTCCCCAAGCCAGGGAACCCTGTTCACACTGGCTGGACCTGCTCCGCAGACAGATAACTGAAGAGACCAGCACCAGAATGAGCCTGACCAGTAAAGAGGGGAGTCCCTTAGGGTGATGGGGACCGGGGGGAGTAGCTTGCAAGGATGCACGCACACACGCGCACGCGCGTACATACACACACACACACACACACACACACACACACACACACAGACGGCTGGTGACAAGGCTTGTGCTCCACCAGTGCTGGGGGTGTGGGTGGATGTGGAGAGGCAGAGGAAGGGGAATGGGACCCAGTACAGGTGACACCTCCTGGAAAAGGGAGACCACAGTAGCAAAGCCCAAGTCAGGGGGCTGTTCTCTTTGAGCACCTGCCATCCTCCCCCGCGGTGGCCCTGGACAGCTGTGGTCAGTGTCCAGTTATAGAGACTTCCCTTCCGGACCCCTTCCTTCCCGGTGGAGACTGGTCTCTGTCAGATGGCTGCACTTCACGGCACACAGCAGCACCCTTCTGTGTCCACAACAGAGCTGTCTCCCTAACTGGCACAGGTTGATGGGGATCTGAGACCAGGAGAGGGGCGCCAGTATCTTCTGTTATCCAAGAACATCTCCCCAGCAACTGCCACGCATCTGAAATACCAGTAGGGGGAGCCTCCCTGGGGTGCAGCAATGGCCTTTAGACCTCCTCCTGGGGGTGAGAACCGAGGGATTTCTTTCTTGTGCTTCCTTGCAGGTAGGAGGCCTGGAGGCAGGGGTGTGGGGCTGCCTATTTACCCAAGTCACAGCCCATCCAACAGATTAATTCATAATCCTGCTTTTTTCCTTTATTTTTTTTTGTTGTTGTTTGTTTGTTTGGGGGGGGGGGGGAGTGGGCTGGAGCAATAGCACAACAGTAGGGCGTTTGCCTTGCACATGAGCCAGGTTTGATTCCTCCGTGATTCCTCTGCCCCTCTCGGAGAGCCCGGCAAGCCACCGAGAGTATCTCGCCTGCATGGCAAAGCCTGGCAAGCTACTCGTGACGTATTCGATATGCCAAACACAGTAACCACGAGTCTCACCATGAAGACGTTACTGGGCCTGCTCGAGAAAGTCAATGAACATTGGGAGGACAGTGCTACAATTTAGGGGGGTCCACACTTGGCAGTGTTCAGGGCTTACTCCAGTCTCTGTGCTCAGGGCTCACTCCTACTGGGGCTCAGAGGACCACATGTGGTGCTGGGGGTTAAACTGGGTCAGCCGCATGCAAGGCAAATGCCTTAACCCCTGCACCATCTCTCCAGCCCACAGGGTCCCCTTTCCTGTATCCCCCACCTGACCCCAGGCTGGGCCCTGTGATAGTCACATCTGTGGGCCCCCACCCCATCATCGTCTGCTCTTCCCTGCCCCCAGGAGACTGGCCAAGTCCACACTTCTGCTCATCCCCCTGTTCGGAGCACACTACATCATGTTTGCCTTCTTCCCCGATGACTTTAAGCCCGAGCTGAAGATGGTCTTTGAGCTCGTCGTGGGGTCCTTCCAGGTATGCACCGTGGATGGAAGGTGGAGTTCTTCTCTGGCCCCAACGGAATTCCACCAGGGGAACTTGGCCCATTGCCACCAGCTTCCAGTTTTCCCACTGTAGTCAATATTGATTAAACCATACTGTGGGTTTCACCCTTGGCTTAATCAGGGGAACTGAGTGGCAGGGTGAGGCCGGGAGGGGCTGAGGGCTCAGAAGGTCTGCCCAGCTCATCTCACGTGCTCCCTCCTCCCCAGGGCTTTGTGGTGGCCATCCTCTACTGCTTCCTCAATGGCGAGGTAAGTCTCTCCCCCACCCACCACCACCAGCGAGCTGGTGTCCAGGGAACAGAAATGTGCCCTGGTCAGATCTGGCTACTCTAGGAGTGGCCCTCAGTAGCTCCCATCTTAAGATTGTTCACTGAGGCTAGAGCAAATAGCACAGAGGATAGGGCATTAGCCTTGCATGCAGCCAACCCGGGTTCAAGTCCCAGCATCCCATATGGTCCCCGAGCATTGCCAAGGGTAATTCATGAGCGCAGAGCCAGGAGTAACCCCTGGGCATTGCTGGGTGTGACCCCCCCCCAAAAAAAGAATGTTCACTTGTTCACTTCTTGGAGCCAGAGAGATAATATTGACTTGCAGGTTGGCTGACCAACATTAAAGTCACAGCACCACATAGGATCCCCTGAGCCTGTCAGCAGTGATCCCTGAGCACAGAGCCAGGAGTAATATC